GTTACTTGATGTGTTCCTTCAAACAAGGGTTCAAATGTTCTACTGACACCACATACATATAGTATAATGAAGTTCATATCCATTTCACTAATGTGAACATGATTGTTATGTGTTGAGTGGAATTGGAGTATGATTGTTGCCTATGATGAATTGTGGAATACTTGACTATGTACTTATTTATATATTGATTTATGTATCTATTTGTGTATATGTGATATCTTTTTGTGTGTGGCTACGTGGCCATACTACATCAGTAGTCAAAGTGACAAATTTTTTACTCCCTTTTTTGTTGTATAGGTGTTCTTGTTTATGTTTTGTAGGTGAGACTTATCCTTAGGATGATGTTATAGAGATTAGGTTTAAGCCTTATGTATTGATGATGTGTTGAGCGTTGATAGGATGTGACATTGAGATAATAGTTAGGATTTCTTGTTTTTAGTATACATAGTGTTCCTGCGTAGAAACACTGCTCCTGTTGCTCCTTCAAATGGTCCTCAAGTCCATGGTGCCGACCGAATACTATCTCCAATGGGTGGGGAGGGTACCTGCAAAAGCACTCCAACGATCAAGTAAGTATTCGTTAGAGAGCAATAAAGGCTTTTATATGAAATAAATCGTACCTCCTTTATGTCCCATCACCTGTATATTTATAGTGACATGTTTGGGCCTGGTGGGCCTTCTGTCTGGGGGGATGGGTAATACCTTGGTTAACCTTAATCTCTCTTAATTAGGTGGGATAATTCATGCGTAATGGATGTCTTAACCTGCCATGCGTTCCCTGACTTGTCCTTTTTCTGGGTATTCGGCCAAGCTTAAGGCCGAAGGGGTATTCGGCCGAGCTTGAGGTCGAAAGGGTATTCGGCCGAGCTTGAGGCAGAAAGGGTATTCGACCAAGCCTGAGGTCGAAAGGGTATTCGGCCAAGCCTGAGGCCGAAAGGGTATTCGGCCAAGCTTGAGGCCGAAAGGGTGTTCGACCAGGCTTAAGGTGGGGGCCTTAAATGTCTTTGACCAAGCTTGAGGCTAGAAAGGTATTCGGCCTAGCTTGGGGCCGAAGGGGTATCTTGAGTGTTTCCCTAGATGCTTCTTTTATCCTTTTGGGGTTTTTCCTCCTTCGTGGAAGGAGTATTCGGTTATTCCTAAGGCTAAGAATGGCTTCGGCCAGGTTCAAGGCCGAAGGGGGTATCGTGAGGAAAATGTCGTCCGTTTTGGTGTCTCTCTCGGCCTAGTTCCTGACCGAGGGGGTGTTTACTGGTACACTGCCCCCCAAGCCCAAGGATGAAAGACGAAGGGGTTTGAGTGTGCTTTTGGTGAGTTCTAGGGTTTCCGTACACATCTTGGGAGGTGTGCCCCTTGGTAATTGTGACCGTTGCACGCTTTAGCTGCCGTTGGGTTTCGCACCCTAAGGTTATGTCTTTTGATTTATGATGGCATTTATTGGAGACCCTTGGGGTGCCTTGGGTTGCCTATATATATGGTATTAAGGTGACACCCCTTCTCGTGTCTCCTGTTTAGTAAACACTGGCCCGAAGCCCTAACTGCTTTGAGCTGAATACTTCGTAAAGGTAGGTTTGCTTAGATTTTGGTTGATTTTTGTTGATAATGGCAGCTGAAGGTGTGACATTGTCATCGGGATCCTCGGCCAGCGCAACGGTCGCGGCTGATGAGGCCGAAGCCGAGATCTTGGCTTATAATGCCGAAGTAGAGGTGTTCGAGGGTTTCGCTGAATCGGGGCCTACTAGTGGAGGGGATTCTGGTAGTTCATCCGGTTCGGATCTTCCAGATGCCAAGATAAGCCCCCAAGATTATAGGCATAAGTTCCCCCTTGTGAGATTTCGGGGTATGAATGGGTTGATGGGGAGGTGGCGGCCTATTTCTCGCGTTTTTATGAGAGGAGTGTCGTGGAGCGCCTACTGGGTGTCTGCACGTTGGCTTAGTGGAAGGATTTGGATCCATACCCGATCATGTTGCGTCGGTGCCAATCCGAAGGCCCTGGTGGAGCCGACCTGGTGTTTCTTGCGAAGCGGGAAAACCAAGGGGATTTCTTTTATATGTACGAATGTTTTTTCCGGGAGCTCGGGATGTCCCTCCCATTGGATGATTTCCAAATGGGAGTTCTTCGGGTGATGAACGTTGCGCCGACCCAGTTGCATCCGAATGGGTGGTCCTATATGCAAGCATTCTGAGTCATATGTAAATACCATTATATAGAGCCTAGTGTAGATCTTTTTTTACATTTTTTTTGTACTCGTCCCTCCAATAAATCATTTAAGTGGTTATCCCTGATTAGGCATGCCGATCGGCCGCTTTTGAGGCCTTTTACTTCATCTTTTAAAGGGTTCAAATCGGGATTTGTGAAAGAAATGATAGACCCTATTGTTGGCCGGAGTTGGTTCTATGATGCCGAGCGAAAACCCTTTTTCCCTTCTACTGGACCCAACAGCCTCAGAAATATGATGAGTTTCCAGTGGAGATGATGACCGAGGCTGAGGTTTCGGTGTTAAATTACTTGAAAGAATTACCCCCGGGGATCCCTGCTCGGTTTTTGGTGCTTTTGCCCAAATCGCCTCGGCCTCGCTTTGAATTAGAGGGTATGTATTTGTTTTCCCTATCGGTCATTCTTGTTAAGTTGATGTGTGACTTTGTTTTTTGCAGGCTGATGGCGTAACAAGGTCTCGGGTTGTCCTACCGCCAAGCGATGCGAAACCGGGCCCCGACAGGGACTTCGGCTGATGACCACCGTAGTGTGGCAATTGACCCGGTGCCAGGGACTGCCAATGCTCCTCGACCAACTCCCCAAGATGTAGTGCTCCCTGACCCAAATCCAAAAAAGAAATGGGACAAGGGCAAAAGGAAGGCCGACGCAGCTGGTGGTGAGACGACTCGGCCGAAGCATCATCGGGCTGAGGGACCTTCAACGGACTCGGCCATTCCCTCGGCCATTGTCGCCAAGGACTTTTTGTCGGAGGAGATCCATCTAGCCCGGATGATGTCCTCTGATCTTCTATCCGAGCAGGGCCATCGGATGTTAGATTCTGCCGCCCCTGCAGCCCAATGGGCTATGGCATGCGGATTGATGGGTTTTGGTTGTATGTTTTGTTTTTTGTTGTACATCTGTTTTGAAGATGATGTATAGAATTAGGGTATACGTTTTTGTTTACTTCTTGATTATTTTGGGCCATTGGTGCTATATAATCATTGTACCCTTCGGCTGATAGTGTCGTTTCGGCCTCAGAGCCTTTTAATGAATTTCGTGCATTTGGATTCTATCTCGGTTGTCTTACCCTTTCTTTTGTTCTAATGACTTAAATAACTTACCATCGTAATGTCGTGTTCAAGGTTGTTCATAACTTGATCGGGTGACAGTACTGTGTATGAGTAGCTTGAGTGTCGTAAGCTTAAGTACCCTTGATCAAGTGATTCCTTTGACCTTCACCGAGTATGTTTTCTGAGTAAGGGCCAAGTGTTTCGTCCTTAGCCGAGAAGTAAGTATTAGGGAGGGATGTAACCTACAACCTTGTCCTGGTCGGATGCTCGGGAGAGATTATATCACTTATCCTTGTCCGAGAGGATCTTTTGAGTGGGATTGCGTTAATCGACCTTAGCCGAGAGGGTTTCTCGGGAGGAATTTAATGAGTCAACCTTGACCGAGCTAGAGTGCTTGGGAGGGACTGCGTTAATCGACCTTAGCCGAGAGGGTTTCTCGGGAGGAATTTAATGAGTCAACCTTGACCGAGCTAGAGTGCTTGGGAGGGACTGCGTTAATCAACCTTGGTCGAGAGGATTTCTCGGGAGGGATTTAATGATTCAACCTTGACTGAGCTAGAGTTCTTGGGAGGGAATATGTTTTCAACCTTGGCCGAGTTAGAGTACTCGGGAGGGACTGCGTTAATCAACCTTGGCCGAGAAAATTTCTCGGGAAGGATTCTTTGATCATGCTTTGCCGAGTAATAGGTACTTGGGAGGGATTTGATGTTTCAACCTTGGTCGAGTGAGGTACTCGGGAGTGATTACGTATTCGTCATTGGCCGAATAATGGGTACTCGGGAGGGATTTGATGTTTCAACCTTGGCCGAGTGAGGTACTCGGGAGGGATTACGTATTCGTCCTTGGTCGAGTAATGGGTACTCGGGAGGGATTTGATGTTTCAACCTTGGCTGAGTGAGGTACTCGGGAAGGATTACGTATTTGTTATGACTTGCGATTAGACAGAAAAATACAAGATTGTTGGATAGGGCTTGTTTCATTAATATGATGCCTCGTTAAAAACCTTTTCTCAGGAAAACCTCTTTTCACACTTTTTTAAGAGGAGAAAACCTAGAAAAGGAAAAGAGTGCATCGAAACAATTACATGGTGATTGCTAACTAAAGTAGTGTTTAAAGTATGTCTCATTCCATGTTTGAGGGATAGCTTTTCCTGTGAGCTCTTCCAACTTGTAAGCTCCATTTTGCAAGTTGTGCATTATACGGTAGGGGCCCTCCCAGTTGGGTGCCAATTTTCCTTGAGCCTTGTCTTTTCTCGCTTCGCCCGTGACTCGCCAGACTAGGTCTCCGGCTTGAAACTCGCGTGGCTTGACCTTCGTTTGATGTTTCCTTGCTAATTTGGTTCGGCAGGCTTCCATATTGACGAGCGCGTGTTCGCGTGCTTCGTCGATTAGATCTAGTTCCACATTGAGAGCCTCCTCGTTCATTTGTTCATTGAATTGTAGCCGCCTAAGGGAAGGTTCTCCTATTTCAACCAGAATCATGGCATCTGTGCCGTAAGTTAGCTGGAAAGGGGTTTCCTTAGTCAAACTTTGCGGAGTGCACCGATAAGCCCATAGAATTTCAGGCAGGTGGTCAGGCCACGTGCCTTTTGCTTGTCCGAGCCATCATTTTAACTCCTTGAGGACAACCTTGTTGGCCGCTTCTGCCTGTCTGTTGGTTTGGGGATGCTCTACCGAGGTCATCTTGTGCTTGATCCCTAATTCAGATAGAAAGTCATTGAAGCAAAGATCGGTGAATTATAAGCCGTTGTCGGTGATCAAGGCGTATGGAATCCCAAAGCGGGTGACAACGTTCTTCCAAAAGAATTTTTGCACATTGTTGGCCATAATGGTGGCCACTGCCTCTGCTTCGATCCATTTGGTGAAACGATCTACTGCCACGATGAGAAACTTCACTTGCCCTTTTACTGGTGGGAATGGCCCTAAGATATCCAAGCCCCAAACCGAAAATGGCCATGGGGTGGTGATAGAGTGTAGTTCTTCGGGGGGATTGTGTGTCAACGGTCCATGTTGTTGGCACGGTTTGCATTGTTGGACAAATTTGGTGCAATCTACCGCCAAGGTTGGCCAATAATAACCGGCCCGAACAACTTTGGTGGCAAGAGTTCGGCTTCCCGAGTGGGTTCCACATACGCCTTCATGGATCTCCCGGAGGACGTAGTGAGCCTGTTCAGGTGCAAGGCACTTCAGTAGGGGTGTCGAAATGCCCCGCTTGTACAGCTCTCCAAAGATTAGAACGTATCGTGCCGCCACAGTTTTCATCTTCTTAGCTTCAAGGGGATCGGCGGGCAACGAGCCGGTCACGAGGGGTTCAACTATGCCGGTCATCCAACTGTGTGTCCCTTGTTGGACTTGCAAACATTCGGCTTCGGCGACACTTGGCTTTTGTAACTCTTGTTGCATCATGCTGCGCAAATGACTAGTCTTTTTGCTGCTAGCTAGCTTAGCCAATTGATCAGCTCTTGTGTTGAGTTCCTGAGGTGTGTTCTCGACTTGTACATCATCAAAGTTCTTTTTCAGCTTCTGGAATGCATGAAAGTACAGGAGAAGTGTTGGCTCTTTGATTTGGAAAGTGTCGTTGACTTGACCTGTTACTACTTGGGAGTTACTCCAGCATTTGATTCTGGTGATGCCCAAGTCGTGTGCCAACCTCTAGCCTGCGAGTAGGGCTTCGTACTCGGCTTGGTTGTTGGAGGTCTTGAAGCCGGATCTTAGTGATTGTTCGACCACCACTTTACCAGGACCTTCCAGTATGATACTTTATTTCCGACCCGGACAATTTTAGGGGTCTACAATACCAGCTCCGCTACCTTGCTGATTTGATGACCCATCCACGTGTAGGGTCCATGCGTGTGGTTCGGGAAGTACTTCCGGGGTGAACTCATTTATGAAATCGGCCATGCTCTGTGCCTTGATGGGTCCTCTTAGTTCGAAACGGATATCAAATTGTGATAGCTCTATGGACCAAGCGACCATCCTCTTGGCTAGTTCGGGCTTCCGCAATACTTTAACAATCGGGCTATCTGTCCTGACAAGAACCTTGTGGCTCTGGAAATAGTGTCAGAGGCGCCTGGCTGTGTGCACGAGGGCTAGGACCATTTTTTCTAGATGCTGGTACCTGGTTTCAGCATCCTGTAAGGCTCGGCTGATGAAGTACACCGGCCTTTGTTCCGCTTTCTCTTGGACTAGAGCTGCGCTGATGGCTTTGTCGGACACCGAGATGTACATGATCATATGGGTCCGGCTTGGCCAGCAACGGAGGAGCTGTGAGGATCGTCTTGAAGTTTTGAAATGCTGACTCGCATTCTTCGGTCCACTGGAACTTGGTAGCCTTTTTCAACAAAGACATTATGGGCCTTGATTTATCCGCCATGCAGGGTAGGAACCGAGCCAAGGAAGCAATGCGCCCGGCCAATCGTTGCACTTCTTTTATATTGTTGGGGCTTCTCATATTGACAATAGCTTGGCACTTGTCAGGGTTGGCTTCTATTCCTCTTGTTGACAACATGAAGCCCAAGAATTTGCCCCCGGCAACCCTGAAGGTGCATTTTGCCGAGTTCAACTGCATGTGATGTCGCCTTACTTCATCGAATATCGTATCGAGGTCTTTTAGGTGATCGGTGGCCGAAGTGGATTTGATTACCATATTGTCCACATATACCTCCAGGCACGTTCCTATTTGCCGGCGGAAGATTTTGTTCATGAGTCGTTGGTAGGTTGCACCGGTGTTCCTCAAGCCGAATGGCATCACTTTGTAGCAGAAGTTGGTCGAATTGGTGATGAATGCCGTTTTTTCTTCATCTGGTGGGTACATGGGTATTTGATTGTACCCTGAGTATGCGTCAAGGAAACTCAGTCTTTGATGGTCGGCCGCTCCATCAACCAGCGCATCAATGTGGGGTAATGGGTAAGCGTCTTTGGGGCATGCTTTGTTCAGATCTGTGTAATCGGTACACATCCGCCATTTCCCATTTGACTTCTTGACCATTACCACGTTGGCCAACCACGTGAAGTACTTGAATTCCCTTATGAAACCTGCCTGAAGTAGCTTGGTTGTCTCTTCTCTTACTTCCTGGGCCCTTTCTCCTCCTATCTTTCTTTTCTTTTGAGCGATGGGCCTAGAGTCTTGGCACACTAAGAGCCGGTGGCAGTGGAAGCTTGGGTCGATGTCCGGCATATCAGCCGTAGTCCAAGCGAATAGGTCGGCATATTTCCGTAGGACCTGCTTGATGTCTGTTGCTTCGACTTCGGATAATTGGGAACTTAAATAAGTAACCTGTTCTTCATTCTTCTCGAGTTGAAAAGGGATCGTGGTTTCTATTGGTTCGACCCTATCTTCATCTTCCATTCTGGGGTCGAGTTCTAAGCCTTCAATCGACTTAGGTTGGCCGACATCACCGATGACATTGACATCTCGGCTTGGCTTCGGAGTTGGTTATACCTTCAAGCTGGCGAGGTAACATTCGCGGGCCGTCTTTTGATCCGCGTGCAGAGTGATGATCGTTCCTTCCTCAAAGGGGAACTTCATTGCCAAGTGGGGGTAGAGACGATGGCTCGTAGCTTGTTCAAGGAGGGTCGGCCCAGGAAGATGTTGTACGAGGTATTAGCGTGCACCACAATGTATCGTACTCTGATCCTACGTCTTGGTCGGTCGTCCCCGAAGTAGGTGTATCGATCTATTGTCCCCCGAGTGTCCACTCGTTCACCCGAAAATCCCACTAAGGGCTCATGATAAGGCGTCAGCTCTTGTTCAGGGATGCCGAGCTACTTGACCGTCTTCCAGTATAAGATGTCTGCCGAGCTTCCCTGATCAACATGAGTTTTCCTCACGATACAGTTGTTGATTTCTACACTGATGACCATGGGATCATCTTGTACTGGGTCGACACCTTGAAAGTCTTCATCAGTAAATGTGATAGGAGGCATGTGGATTGGAGTTGCTCGTCCTACGGCGTTAACCGACTTGATTGCTCTCAAGTGTCTCTTGCGTGCTGAAGACGTGCTTTCTCCCCCCGCGAAGCCTCCAGCAATGGTGTTTATCACCCGCCTGGGTTGATTTCGGTCTCGTTTATTGTTCCTTTCTGGGGACCTGTTACGTTCAGGAGATTGGTTCCTTGGAGGTGCTCGGTCTCGGTGCTCCCTTCTGTACTCCCTCCTACCATAGTCGTTCTTTCTGCTGTCCGACGGTCGAACGAAGTTTTGAAGAAATCCGGCCTTAACGAGGTCCTCAATGCGATCCCAAAGGGTAGAGCACTCTTCGGTAGTGTGCCCTCTATTCTGGTGGAACTGGCACACTTTCGTCTTATCTGCATGAGGCGGGGTCATGGCTCTTCGAGGAACAACCAGGACTTCTGTGGCTAAGGCCTGTTCCAACACCTTGGCCCTGCTGGTGTTGAGCGGCGTGTACTGCATGTATCTTGGCCCCTTGTTATTCTTCTCGCGATCAGGTATGTCTCAGGGATGGGATCTGGGGGGCTCCCTATCACCTTCTTTCTTCGTGAGGAATAGGTCGGGTCAGTTTTAACTCCGAAACTCGGCCAATTCCTCCATTTGCATGTATTTTGTGACTCTCTGCCTCAGGTCATCCAAGTCCCGGGGTGGCTTTTTACACAAGCTGTTGACGAAAGGCCCGGGCCTTAGTGTCGTGGTCAGGTGATGCATTGCCACGGCCGGGTCCAGGTTTCGAATAGATAGTGTCATTTTTCTGAACCTTTTCATGAAGGTTCTCAAAGGTTCCTTCTTCTCTTGGCGAATGTTGACCAATGCGATTGACGTGAGCTGGTGAGGACGGCTCGTGGCAAACTGTATCACGAAACGGGAAGATAAGGCTGTGAACGAGTCTACCGATCCGAGTGGGAGTCTCGTGAACCAATTAAGTGCCGGTCCTTTCAGCGAGGTAGGGAAGACTTTACACATGATAGCATCGTCATCCGTGTACAAACTGACCTGGGTAACGAACGCATCAAGGTGTTCTTCCGAGTCGACGGTTCCGTCATACTTCTCTAAGGCCAAGTTTTTCCAATTGTCGGGCAGACGGGCTCCGGCAATGTCCGGGGTAAACTGCGTTCTCCCCTGTCGTCGTTGCTGATCGAGAGTATTTATTGTCACTCCTGCTGGGGGCTTAGGAGCCCTTGTTTCTTTGTACCATCCCGATGATTCCCCGTGATCTCGGGTTGACTGGGTGTTGGGGGTATCATGAGATGGATGCCATGATCGCATTCTCTTTTCTTAGGACCGACAACTCGTGGGCGTCTTTTTCTCGGAGCCTCTTTAGTTCCATCATTTCGGCCTTCAATTGCTCGATGGCCGATGATGGGTCGGGAGGTTGGGACCGAGCTGTGTAAGACTCTTCCACTCCTTCCTCGTTCTGATTCGTTCGCTGGGGTGTTCCTCGGGGCATCCCGAGATTGTGAATAGTTACGTTTTCTTGCTGACTCCTAGTCGCTACCATCTTACTTCAGGGTCGAGAATCGTTTTGGTTTTCGGCCCCACGGTGGGCGCCAAAATGTTCCTGCGTAGAAACACTGCTCCTGTTGCTCCTTCAAATGGTCCTCAAGTCCTTGGTGCTAATCGAATATTGTCTGCAATGGGTGGGGAGGGTACCTGCAAAGGCAATCCAACGATCAAGTAAGTATTCGGTAGAGAGTAATAAAGGCTTTTATATGGAATAAATCGTACCTCCTTTTTGTCCCATCACCTATATATTTATAGTGACATGTTTGGGCCTGGTGGGCCTTCTGTCTGGGGGGATGGGTAATACCTTGGTTAACCTTAATCTCTCTTAATTAGGTGGGATAATTCATCCGTAATGGATGTCTTAACCTGCCATGCATTCCCTGACTTGTCCTTTTTCTGGGTATTCGGTCAAGCTTAAGGCTGAAGGGGTATTCAGCCGAGCTTGAGGCTGAAAGGGTATTCAGCCGAGCTTGAAGCCGAAAGGGTATTCGGCCAAGCCTGAGGTCGAAAGGGTATTCGGCCAAGCCTGAGGCCGAAAGGGTATTCGGCCAAGCTTGAGGTCGAAAGGGTGCTCGACCAGGCTTAAGGTGGGGGCCTTGAATGTCTTTGACGAAGCTTGGGGCCGAAGAGGTATTCGACCTAGCTTGGGGCCGAAGGGGTATTCGGCCTAGCTTGGGGCCGAAGGGGTATTCGGCCTATCTTGGGGCCGAAGGGGTATCTGGCCTATCTTGGGGCCGAAGGGGTATCTTGAGTGTTTCCCTAGATGCTTCTTTTGTCCTGTTGGGGTTTTTCCTCCTTCGTGGAAGGAGTATTCGGATATTCCTAAGACCGAGAATGGCTTCGGCCAGGTTCAAGGCCGAAGGGGGTATCGTGAGGAAACTGTCGTCCTTTTTGGTGCCTTTCTCGGCCTAGTTCCTGACCGAGGGGGTGTTTACTGGTACACGTAGGATTTGATGTTGTTGTTTCCATGTTGTATTCACTTGTCTAGACTTATGTTTATTCTTTTGGTTTTGCATTTCATTGTAGTTATTTTTAGACATCATGTTATTTTGTTTCTTTTAATTATTATTTTATTAGTATGTTGTAGAGACTGCCATAATATTCTTTGTTCTTCCATATGTCATTTGTTATGTTAAGATGAAACTGAACCAATAGAAGGGCTCGTACTTTTTTGATGACTCAATTGATGACATCGAGGACTACTTTGGCGACAATGTGTCGCCACCGGCCCGAAACGGGCTTTCGGCATTC